ATTAATACCACGAGCCAAAAACACTCTGAATAATTTAAAACGTAAAGAAAAACAAAATATTTCTTGTGAGAGTTGAAAACCTTTTCCAAATACAATAAAAACAAAACTCTTCAATTTCACCTGCCGATTTCTTCAGAATTTCTAATTACAATTTTATATTATAAAACTAATGCACCTAATGGCCCCTGGCCAGAAAGTCCCCTTTTCACTTTGCAGCTGCAGGAAAGCTGCCTGAAACGATAAATATAAGAGGAATAGTTACAAAGTTAGTTTAATGGCAAAAACTTTGCGTAGCTGTTTTACACCTGCCGTAGGTGAGCACGCATCCCTCATTTCGCATTCGAATAGATCCTTGGAGAAGCTGGCATCTTGGACACAGCTTGATTCGAAAATAGCCCACTAACTAGGCGACTCATGAGTGGCCTGTTGCTCAGTTGACTGACATTAAAGTTTAACGCGCTCTGAGCTACGCGCTGCTACCCACATCAGCGTGGATGTCAGGCTGGCCCAAAAGTTACATAATTAAGACGGGGCCAACACATAGACTTGGCTTTGGGATTTGGGTCAGCCAACAGCGCCAAAGTGTACCTAAATAATGCGCTTTAAAATTCAGTCATTCGTGCCAGCATTTTTGGTTGTCAGTCGAAATGGCACGTAAACATAATTAGACGTACATTTAAAAGGTCATTAAATGGCACGGGCGGCGCGTTTGGCCTCGTTCGGGCCAACCAGCTAGGCACATTATGTCACTCGGCACTCGAGCTCAGTCAGGGCCAGTCCAGGCAGCTCCAGTTCCAGCACCAGTTCCAGTTCCAGCTCCAGTGCCACTCACGGGTGTATTTGCATTCTGTAAAAGTGCCCACTGTGCCCCACTGTGCCCCACTGTGCAAGTGCATGACACTGGCAACGGCGAAGGACGAGAGTCAAACAACAACAGCTAAACACCATTAGGCAGCCTTTTGGGCTCTGATGGGTTGCCAGGGCGCTCAGTTGCTCGGTTGCTTGGCTGCTTGGCTGCCTGGCTGCTTGGCCATGGCACAGCGCGTAGAGAACACTTAAAAGTGTGCTCGACAACTTGACATTGTTTCAAGAGCGAAAATATGATTTTTAGCAGAGGATAATGGCCAACTGGAGCAGAGCAGAGCAGAGCATAATATAAATAACAACACGTGGCCCAACTCAACACGTATCTACTTAGGACTTGGGGCAATAAAAGTAACTCACAAGTATGAACAACATTCTGGGCTTGCTCACGGAGCTGATGCTCTGGAGAATCAATATTGGACATATATTCTTTGACAATTACTGAAGCCCCAAATTGATATTTGATGTTGACAGACTGTGTTACCTGGAATGACAAAGTATTGTGTTATCAACTCCATTTGGAGGAAAAATAAAAAAAAAACTTAAAGTATTTTCTTTTAAAGCATTTTCATCGCTTTTAATGGCTCGCTCTGCAGCTCTCAAGTGCGGCACTTAGAAAGTGGGTTGGCTGCCCATCTATATAAGTTGCGTTCCGAAAAATAAAAATGCAGCGTTTATGGCTCAAGTTGTGGACGTTGTCTTGGCTCATTTATTTGCCGTGGAGCGTTTACTTACTTGCGGACCTCAACAAACTGTAACACACGTACACCGCACAGCCCCAATTGCCGCTGCAAGAGCGCTGCTTGACCCCACCGAGAGCCCATTAACGCTTTTTTATCTGTTCATAAATTTTAATTTCGCCAAAATACTCCAAGTACGTGCCACGCCTGCTCCAGCAACCGACCCGACCGCAGAGACAAAGCCCCCAACAATTTGCCCAGTACCAGACTCAGACTCAGACTCAGCCTCGGACTCAAACCCAGAATCGTGGCTTCTTGTGGGCTTGTGTAAGTTGGCGTCTCAGCTTGACTTTGAGTAGGAAAGAAATATATATACATATATATGACTTGGTGGCTCGTCTTGCACTTTTTCTTCTCGCTGCCTGGCAACTTTATTTTTTTCTCTTTTTTGCAACGTTTCGTTTCAAGCTTTGTCCTTTAAGTTTGGTGTGCGAAGGGATCTTAACCTTATTCCACTGTCGGCACATTCGAGGCGCTTGTGGGTTTGTTTATCGTCCTTTGCATCTCATTGAGCTCGTTCCTGTTTATGAACAGTCGCTCGTTGGAATTGCTTACTCGGTTTGTTAAGGGTGCCCGCCCAGTGGACCCTTGGCACCATTCTGCTCGAACTTGTACACACTCCCCCTGTCTGCCTCGCTTTGCCCCTCTCTCTTGCTCTTTGTTGGCCAATCTCGGGCTGAGCTATCCATATTTGTGCCTTGTGCGGCACATTCAGCTTTTCATTGCATATTTATTCTAATTATTATGATTTATATGAGCCAGGTGCATGAGATTACTTTATTTTTTATCATTTCAGTGGAATGTAAGATATGAGCTATCAAGAAATGTATAAGTGTTCTACTCTATATTATAATATCTAATTAATTAGTAAATATATTGTGTTTCACTCAAATTGAAAAGCCAGACTCAGAGATGAAATCTTGTTTGCTCGACCGTTAACATTCAAGATGTTTCATTTCATTTTAGTGTAGGTGTCAGAGAGTAATTGAATTTATTTTCAAATTGTTTGGGGCCGAGCTTCTCTGTGAATGGTCCATTTCCATTCAAATACCATTCGCAAGCTACCTAGAACACTTTCGTATTATATTTGCCACGGCCTCGAAACAACAAGCTACATCAGCTGGCTGCCAATCAATTTAGACTTGGCAATAATTAAGCAGAGCTCAGATGTCAATTAACTTCAGTTTTGTTAGGGCAAGCAGTTGTACATAAAAGTTTATTATTCTGGTATCTTGTGGTATTTATGCGAGTGGCTTCAGCATTGCAATTTACTTGAAGCAACAGTAAATAACGGCTATATCTTTGAGCGTGCAGAAAAATAATCAAATACTTTTTTTTTTGCTGGGCTGTGCTGTGTGCTGGGTGCTGTGGCGGAGGCAGAGTGTTAGGTGCAAAACGCACAGGAGCTATGCAAAGGACTCTAACTGAAAGCACTTAAGCCCATAAAATATTCAAGCCGTGAACATGTGGAAAAAATTACAGGAGCAACCGAGCGGAGAGCACAAAAGCAGGCATGCAACAAAAGAAACAACGTGGAATAAAAGAATGGAATGGATGAGTGGACATAACAGACATTACAGCGACGGACGTGGAGGGACGGGCAGGACATGGAGCTTGGGGCCCAAAGTCAGCATCGCGCAATTTGCCATTTCGCAGCAGTGGCAGGAGGAGGACGACAGGCCCAAGAGTTGTAAGGCAGCCAGCCACTGATTGAATAAGGAGTAAAGGACAAGAGGCTGYCCGGGCATGATGAGCTYCATAAATGTCGTTCGGCAAGCGGAAACGGAAGCAAATGGCGCCGCTGCTGGGACAGCTAGCATTGTACGGCGGAAGTGGTAAAAGCAAAGGGCCCACTGTCCCCAGCTCCAGCCATTTGCATCTGCTCGTAGGCACCGACCCATCCACATCAACATCGACATCGGCATCTATGTCCTTTCTGTTTTTCCTCAAAACACGCACACGCACACGCACAGGCATCGACATCGACATCGGCAATCACTTCGATATGTGCGACCCGAAAGCAAAGTGAATTTACAATGGGGCTCAATAATATATAAGAGGTCTCTTATTCTCTTCAAATTTGTAAACTTCACGAAAACGTGATCTGATGGACCCTAAAGTAAAGCTTCCTGCAACCAATAAACTAGCGAATATCTCATGTTCGAACGGGCCCATAAAAGGGCTGTTGAGCACATGGGGGCAACGCCTGCTTCGCGGTTATATTAAAAGCGCGATGAGGATATTAAACATGTCCTTAAGCATAAAATGTCAATAAACGCAACGGGCCGTAGCTAAGCAGTTTACATTGGCTGCACGACGGCAACGGCGACGGCGACGGCGAAGGCAATGGCAGCGGCGACAGCAAGGCGAAGCCGCCAGCTACACACACTCTTAGCCAGACAAACGAATGAGCTTCTTTTGCATCCTGCTTATAGTCGATACTCAGTATGCAAGGGGTATGCTGATTGGATATGCATTGAGAAGGAAGCCGCATTCCTTGTGCATCGAAAGGAAAATGTCGACTGCTAGGAAAATGTTGTGTATATAAATATTACAAAATGATCACGGTTATATTTACTTTATTTTTAATAGTTATAAATTACTTATTTTGATTTTATTTATTCAGCATTT